TGGGAGTTGAAGTCCACTCATCTTAAAGTGGCCAAGTTTGGACAACACTGATTTAGAGCCTGATCTACAGTTGTATGGGTTTCCTGACTCTAAACAGTAGAAAACCATGATGTTGATTTTCGGTAATTGTGTTTGGAAGGGCCTCTGGAGTCCACAAAAAGGGGTTCAGGAATCACATATATTCCTGAGGCCTAAGGCTACCTGGTCCTGATCTAAATGAAATGTTTCTTTTTCATTCAATAATCCCTAATAAATTTCCAAGGAAACCCAAGTTTAGCCAGGATGCAACTAAAAATTATATAGAGCTTGATATATGGTGCTATTCTTTATTATTATGTGTTGCATTCTGTTTTACAGCATTTGACGATATCCTCAAGGAGCTGGCCAGGATCAGTAGTAAGTTGTTGACCTTCAGACCTTGTTCTGGTGGCAGTTATTGTATCCAAGACACAATTAGATTAGGATTCCCATTCTCTAAAGTGTCCTTCTTTGGACTTTAGTTTGGATTTGGACTTCCATTTTTGTCAATCCCAGGCAGCAAAGGATTATGGGAGATATGTCCAAAACATCTGGAGGGCCCTTAGGTTCTTATCTTTGCTATAAAGAAATATAATTGTTTTTATTTATCAGAAGAGAAGTTTTTATTCATTCATTTCAGACTGTTTCTGAAAACCTCTCTCTCTTTCTGACTTTTCTGTTTAGTTCTTTCTGCATCTCCTTTGAAAGTGCTGCCAACTATAGAAGGCATCAAGATCTACAGTGAAGTAAAGTACTACACAGATGCCATGAAGGCTACCTGGTACCACAAGTACGTGCTTTTATATTGTGACTCTAAGTTTGTAGGATAAGGTGTTCTTATGGGGTTGGCTGAGGATGCAAAGGCATGGTTCGAGTAAGGAGATCTCAGCTTAAGCAGAGAGACACCCAACCAAATTTTGGCCAGGACCCTTCTTTCTTGTGGGGTCCCTTTCCTCCTCCCTGCTCAACATCCTGTAGGTCATCCAGGAAATCTTCAGCTTTGCAAGGTATTTGCTTCAACTGAACAGGGCAGTGAAGGTTCATCAGATTCAGGCCCTTAATCCTACTTTGCTCCAGAGCTAATAGTAACTACAGATCTCATTCCATTGAAAGACAATGTGGCTTGTCTGCCCGTGGTTTAGAGCACAAGTGGAGCATCCACAGCCCACCTGTGGCCCATAGTGGTCTGCCATGCAGCCCAGCATGGCTGGATTTTCTCTCTTGCTCCATGCTCTGTCTACACTGAGAGAATTGTTATAGGTTTTAATTGTATATTTATTTATTGTTTTAATGTGTTGTGAGCCGCCCAGAGTCCCCCATTGGGGGGAGATGGGCGGGGGACAAATTTAATAAATAAATAAATAAATCAATCAATCAATCTTGGGAGACATGAAATAACATGGGGAGGACTTGTTCCTGATTCCTCAGAACATCCATCAAAGCAATTGCTCCAAATCCCTGAGAAGGACAAACAATGAGCAACACAGTACATTATGATCTAACATGATGGTTCAGTTTGGACAACATGCTAGAAAAAGTGATTTGCCCAGACATACCTTCCTAAGGTAGACCATACCTTGATCTACATGCAGTTGGAAAAACAAAACAAGGCAGCTTTTTAGGGCTACCACCATTGAGAAGTTTATTGCATAACTACGGACCCAGTATGGAAGAGAGATATTGTTTAGAAGCTGTATGTTAATTGATGACTTAATGTCTTGCTGGACCTTCAGTGACAAGCGTCTGGAAGGAAGAGACCGCCTGAAAATAGGAACAACCATGGACCAGGTTTGGCTGCACATCCTTGACCCCAAGGAGTCCGACCGAGGCAAATACACCCTGGAGCTCACTGATGGGAAGGAGATACGCACAATGTCAACTGACCTATCTGGGAAAGGTGAGCACTCAGCATTTTCATCTGAAAGGGGCAGTTAGTGAGATTTAGAATTGAGATCATCTTTGTATCTATATTTTTGTTGGGTCCCAGAATACTGTTTGGTAATTTTATTTGGATTGACTGATTGATTTTGTGCTATCAAGTTGGTGTCAACATTAAGCAATCGCATAGATAGCTTTTCTCCAGGAGGCTCTGTCTCTGATCTGGCCTTCACGTTTTCCAACAGGGCACCATCGCCCTCTGTAATTGAGGCCACCCACCTTGCTGCTGGCCATCCTCCTCTTCTTCTTTTTTTTTTTACCTTGCCCAGCATTATGGACTTCTCGAGAGAGCAAGGTCTTTGCAAAATATGTCCAAACTATTTGTGCCTTAAGTGAGACCTTTGGATTGATTTGTTCTAGGATCCATTTGTTTGTTTTCTTGGCTTTCTATAGTCTTCTCAGGAGTCGTCTCCAACACCAAGGTTCAGAAGCATCAATACCCTTTCCAAACCCAACTTTTGCTTCGATGGAGTGTCAATTTATTTTTATAGGAGGTTATTAAAATATTGCTGGATACATAAGCTATTGCTAAACCCTTCTGTGTGTATTTCCCTTTCATCCTTTTTCATTAGTTTTGACTTTAATTTCTAATGATACCTTGTCTTTTCAATACAACCCCCCCACCACCAGTTCCCATTCTCTGCAGTGATAGTTTGTATGAGACTTGAGTGCTGCTGCTGAAGAGAAAAACAAAAAAACCCTCATTTTTCTATTATAATTCTGGGTTTTAATGGCTATTTCTATAACTGCATTAATATATGAGAATAGATTTTAAAATGGAAACGTCTACATGAGAGAAGAACCCGTTAAGGTTTAGTATTCCACATTTTATTAGCCCTTTTTCCACACTGCAAGTAGTTATTTATTTATTGTATTTATATAGCTGCCCATCTCACACAAAGTGTCTCTGGGCGGCATACAACAATTAATTAGTTACCATTTATTTGAGCCAAACCTTTTCTTTCTTGCTTTCTTTCTGTAGCTTTCGATGATGCACTTGCTGAACATCAAAGGCTCAAGTAAGTTGGGTGGTGTTGTGGTCGTTGTTCGCACTGAACATCTTTCTTTTTAGAAAACTGTCCCTTTTGGAGAATCACTTCTGCAAGAGGTGGTGGATGATGCTTTAGGAAGCAGCTGGGTAACCTGGAACATGCAGTACAGGTAGTCCTCGACTTACGGCCATTTGTTTAACAAACGTTCAAAGTTACAACAGCACTGAAAAAAGTGATTTATGACCAGTCCTTGCACGTACGACCGTCGCAGCATTCCCGCGATCACATGATCAAAATTCAGGCACTTGGCAAGCAGCATGTATTTACAATGGTTGCAGGGTCCCGGGGTCACGTCATCAGCATTTATGACCTTCCCAGGGGGCTTCCAACAAGCAAAGTCAATGGGGGAAGCCGGATTTGCTTAATGACCATATGATTTCCTTAATGACCACGGCAAAAAAGGTGGTAAAATCAGGTGTGACTCACTTAATGACCACATCATCTAGCAATGGAGGTTCTGATCCCAATTGTGGTCATAAGTCGAGGGCTACCTATACTTGGAATTGTTGCATAGCTAGTGGTATGCAACAATTCCAAGTATTTGCATAGTAACTCCTGGGCTGGGAGAAGGGTCTTGCATTTAATATTGGCGTTTCTTTACTGAGATTTAGGTAAACATATGTGTGACGTAAAAATGCCTTTTGTTTTGCTTTCGTTGTAGGCAAGCGGCCGTTGTGGAGGAAAGTGAGTATAAAAAGATGCATCTTTTGCTGTTGAACCAAATGCAGCCAGGCGGTTTTTTGTTCTGTCACATTCTTGGGAGATTCCAAGGGCAGTCAGTATGACCAGGTTTACTTTGAATCCAAGGTGTCTTTTCAAAATCTGCTATTTTTACAGCATTAGAAGCATCACAGATTGGAAGCAAATAAATGGAATAAATGGAAAAGCAAATAAATGGAAAGCAGACCAAGATGCACCTCCAGTTTGAGTTACCTTCAGTGAAAAACTCCTGGTTTGAACTTCAGACTCCACACCATTCCTTCCCATCTGTCAGCCCCCTCTCTTCAACTGAAGAAATGTCATTCACCCACACACAACACGCTTAAACCAGTTACTGAATTAACCAACATTCTAGGTTCACACAAAACAGTAAATTGTAAAATAACGTAATGGGCTGGGTTAATACAACATCCAAAGTTGCAAAGAAGCACACTGAGATGAAAATTAACCCAGCTTAACATGTTGTGTGAATGCAGCTCCTAGGTTTGTAACTGACATATCTTATACATAAAAACAAGCAAGAGGTATCATCAGATTCTTTCCTGCCATTGCATGAACTGAATAGATAGAATTGAATTGAACAGATTTGAACTGAAACATAGAATTGGATAGATCCAGTCCTTGGCCACTGCAAAAAAATTCTGCAGTTACTGTACTGTATACAGGTTCTGCTTAAAACTGCTAACAGCTTTCATTTGCTTCCAAGATAATATCCTCATACCTTGTCCTTAGCGACATAAGGCATCCTGCAGCATTAACACGATTCACCTCTAAACTATTTAGGCATCCTTAATAGCTGGTTCAGAGAGCCAGTTTGGTCCAGTGTTTAAGGCACCAGGTGTGATGGAAGGCTTGAGCGAGGAGGTTCAAGGTCATAGGGAGGGGGAGAGGAATCTCAAGCATCTCCTCAGTCCTCAGCCTGAGCGTGTGAAAATTAAGAGAAGGAGACTGGCACTGCCCTAAGGAATTTGGAGTGTTTGCTTGCTGTTCTTGGGGGGTTAGAGTTAGTCTGGCAAGATTCTGTTTAGTAGGTATAAGCTAATAAAGTAACTGAACTGTTCCAGAATTGTCCTGCTGAGTTTCTTGGGCTGAACCTGACATCAGGCTAGAAACCAGGAGACCCCGAGTTCGAGTCCCATCTTAGGCACAAAGCCAGCTGGGTGTCCTTGGGCCAGTCCCTCTCTCTCAGCCCTAGGAAGGAAGCAATGGCAAACCACTTCCAAATTTTGCCAAGAAAACCGCAGGGACTTGTCCAGGCAGTTGCCAGGAGTCAACACTGACTTGAAGGCATAAAAAAAAGAAAAAGAAAAGAAAAGCAGCTGGTTCAGACAATATCCCCTTAAAAGCTAGTATCTGCATTCACACAGCAGGCTAAACTAGGTTAGTTTTAACCTTGCATAGGTTCATTATGTGTGTGAAACCATGTCATTTGGTCATTTATGGTTCAGTGTATTGCATAGCCCCAGGACATAGGTTATTTCAGTAGTGGTAGTAGTAATAGTAGTAATAAAAGTAGTTATTATATCCTTATAGCTAGGCACCGTGCAGAAATGGAACAAAAGAATTGAAACAACACTTCAATTAGTGCACTTAATTATAACATCATAATATAAAATAAGGAGCCTCTATACTAAAAGTTCCATGAATATACAAATAACTTGTATATATTCAAAGTGACAGGTAAGAGTTTATTTATTTTAAAGCAAATTCACAGCAACCAGGTAAACTCTATTACATGAATCCAGACTGCCTGTCGCCATAAACTGGGATAAAAACTGAATAGCTAATCATGATGTCTGTTTTCCCTCTATAGACCGTGCTAAAGTGGTTCGGGGTCTTCCAGATGTTGCAACCATCATGGAAAGTAAGGTAATGGAATTGTCTTGGACTGTCCCCAGCTATGCTAGTGGGGAATAACTACTGTGGGAGCCCTGAATTATATAAGGGACTCTTGCATTGCCATGTATATTAGCAATTGATAAGGCAGATGTTGCACCATTCCATTGTGCAATCCTTCCAGGCCCCAGATTCATTGCACAACCTCAGATAATGGCTCAGGTACCTCTCCCCTTCTCCTCCAAGTTGCAGGATCTCTAATGTTTCCAACAGTCACACCCTGGTTCCCACAAGATTTTGTGGGAGACCCCTGAAAATTCATGTAAGAATGCTGAAATAGTGATCTCGTAGCATTGCAGACTCTTTAAAAGAAATGTCTGCTTTTAATTTAATTTCAGGGAATTGTGGGTACTCTTTTAGGGTTCAGAAGAATACCCTATCACTGGGCAAGAGGGACAGGGATCCTAGAGGGCATAAAGGGAGGTGTCTGCTCACACACTGGTACCGATGGTCACCATCCTACTATCCCCAGGGTAAATCTGCCCTGCCTATTTGCATTGCCTTTCACTGTCCAACCTGAACTCCTACAATGAATACTTTATATATTTATAAAACAGACTTTGTGCTTGACCTGCATCATCTCTGGAGATCCTTACCCAGAAATCACCTGGTACAAGAATGAGAAAGTCGTTACCTTCAAAGATCGGTACAAGATGGAAGTGAAGGGGACCGTGATCACGATAACCATTGAGAACGTCAGCAGTGAGGACACTGGGAAATTCAGCATCCACGTCCAGAACAAGTGGGGCTCTGAAACCGGCAAGGTGACAGTCAGCGTGTACAAGCAGGGAGAAGAACCTCGGGAGCTGAAAGGGGAACCACCCTTCATCTGAGCAGGGAGTTGGTGCCTAAGTCCAGTTCTAGGGTCTTGGTCTGGTCCACAGGACATAATCCAGTAGAAGAGGATGGGTCTTATTCATTGCAAGGAAAGATCCACCTCCCATCTCTTACCCAACACTGTCACTGCTTTCTGAGCAGAATCATAGGCTTATGACATTGATAGAGAGAAGTTAAGCTCCAGCCCCATAAGAGGATTAGCATCAAGTCTCTTGGCCACTTCTCAGTGTTTCTCAGTGCATTCACACATATATATCCATACAGAAAATCAAGGGCCGGTGAAGATATAGCTGTTACTGGTTTTAGCTCAACAAACCAGTGGTGAGTTCATACGTTTCACTAAGCCAGGTGGTTTTCACAGTCCTGTTGAATAAGCCACAGTGGGAGGACTTACATACTTGTATTGTACTACACTATTAAACAGGATGCACAGTATATTTTGGAGTGGGGGTCACATTCTTAAATCCAGTGGGTGGGATCAGGTCAATGGTTAAATTAGGCTCTATTTCATGTAGAATAATTTTGAACTAAAGTTAAATATACTGTAGTTAAAATGATTAGTTTCCAGTTAATATTTAATCTATTTCCCTTTACTTACAGGAACAGTTACAAGTTGGGAATTACTTTTGGAGAACTCTGGAAGTCACCCCAAGGCTTCCAAGGTGTGGACAAGTGGAAGCCACCATAAATCATGACTTACAAACCACAATAGTTAGGTTCATATCAGATTCTAAACCAAAACCAAATATTTGTGTAGTTGCTGCTTGTCATCTCGGTGTCTAATGAACCCAGGCACTGTGATTTATAAATCATGGTTTATGGCTTAGCATTAGGAGCAAACCCAACCATTGTAGCTTATTCAACAGAATATAATTGAAACAAACCATAATTTAGGATGATGTGTGAATGGGGTCACTCGGGGGTAGCTTGAGGCTGAAAATATTCACAGATATTGTTTCAGACTTTGATTCAATTATCTCCTAGCACTACTGAATTTTTGCTGACTTGCTCTACCATATGCTAAATAAATAGTTGGATTTGGACAGTATGATGATTATTGCATTTATTTAAGGAGTGTATATGGGCACCCAACTTGAACACTGTGCCTCTGGGCAGCTTACAAAAAATAAGCAACGAGCAAAAATAAGTAGCAATGGCATTTTGCAATGGCAGATGCAAAATGAGACACTCCAAATGGTTACCGCTGCACGCCAGAAGGCTCCCAAGACCCTGAGTTTTCCTGCAAGAAAAAGTTTGTGCATTGATGCCCATGCTCTCCCTGTTCAGTGAATGCAGCAGATCTTTTAAGAGATTAGCTTAAATTTTAGCTCCCCAAGGTCAGGACAAAGGATGGCAGGTAGAAACAGCAGTATTGAGCAAAACCACTCAAAGCCACTGAACTCTTTGGCATTTCAACTGAATGTACCCTGTGGCCGCAAAAGCCGGAGTATTTGTTACCACTGAGGAAGCATCCGGGAGGGATCACCCATGATAAGCTACAAACCCGGGTTCATAGACCACAATTGTGTTCGCACAAGTCTTGCCCCAGTAAACTGACTCGGAGCTCAACATGATGGTCCAGTTCACACACTATGCTACGGGAATGACTGGATTTCTCTTTATATGAGCCTCAGACTACTCAACCCCCTTTTCACTCGGTCAAGCATGTTTGCAAACCCAGACTTTGAGTCACGCAGATGAAATGGACAAGATTGCCCTCTGAAACTTTGGCAGGGTTAGCAAAGCTGATGGCAAAATCAATGAAAGAAAAACCCCTTTACCCTTTTAACCCTTTTAATCCCATAAAAAGGTCCATGTTAGAGTTGTGAATTAGCTCTCTGATTTACTTTCCTAAGATAGAGGAGAGGATAATCTAGGTTTGGTAACATATAAAATATACTTGATAGCTAGATTCATTTAACTGATGCATTTAAAAATTTCTCCACTATATGAATAATGACTGTCTTTTCCTTTTATCATTCTTTCAAAACATAGGGTAAGATGTTTTTCACAAAAACATGAACATTTTATTTTGGGAATTTTATTCTGGCTCAGCGAATCTTAAGATACCAATTTTAAACCCATTTGAAGGGGGATAAATTACCCAGGAGAAGACATGACCTCTATCAGAATGCTTCTCATACAATTGTTTGAAGGGTTTACAATTAACTTTAGTAAAACAACATTAAAGCATCAGATAAAATAGACACAAAAATGGATGGGATTGGTAGAAATACATAGAGTCTGTCTCTACCATCACACAGGGAAGATCTGGAAGAAAGCTGGGCCTTCAACAAGTGCCTAGAGCAGTGTTTCTCAACCCTGGCAACTTTAAGATATGTGGATTTTAACTTCCAGAATCCCCCGGCCATCCAGAACAGGCTGGTGGGTGGGGATGAAAAAAGTCAACATAGTATCTGTAAGCCAGCATTCAAAGCCTGATTTCCTTTTTAGTGTGTTGCAGTGCCCTAAAAAAGGAACAGGGCTTCAACTGCAGAGTCATAATCAGCATCTTGTTTTTTCTGACACTTAGAAGAACCAACTGCAAGTTACGGAACGATGACAATCCACATTTGTAGGTTTACCCTATTTTGAGCAGTTAAACCAGGGCAAAAGTCCTGATCAGCAGGCTTGTGCAAATAACCCTGGGGAGGGCGGGCTTTAGCATGCTTTCAAAACTTGCTCCCCTTCCTCTTGTTCAACTTGGTGAAGCAAAGGGAGAAAAATTGGAATGGCTAACTCTGTCCTCCTCCCATCCGGGTTAAGGCTGATATCAGTGACAGAGAGTTAAAATTTGTTCCCCTTGGTAGGTCAGTACAACCTAGTTTCCAGGACTTTTTTTTTTTTCTACCTTGCTCAGTGATCTAGACTGGAGCACAAAAGCAGGACAATCCTATGTATGATAAGCCTAACAATTTGTGACACCCTCAGTAGGACCTCCCCAAACTATCAGAGCAATCATGAAGATGTATAACAGGCTATCTATTAGTCTCCTGGCCCTGCATTGTCTAGTTCACTCAATTCAAAAAGATATGCTTCTGAGTAGACATTAATTAGACTGCATCTTTAATTACAAAGTTCATTAGGCGATAATTGAGCAGGTACAGGAGCTACAGAGAAGACCACTGTTTCATCTCCTTTGCTGGTGGCCTTGGTGAGAGCAGTGGCTGAGGAGAGAGAAGCTCTCACTGGAAGCTGTGTCCAAGTGCAATGAAGGACAGTTAAATCCAGCTTGCTCTCCTCCCCACCCCAAAGGTTTGCACTGTTACAGCAGTGCTGGCGTTCCAAAATTGCACTCATATTTCTGTCGCTCTGAAAAAGCTGGTCTTACAGTGACCAGAGTCAATCATCCTGAGCCAGACCAAGACATAAGGGAGAGTGCTATTGGCTAGCGATTCTCTCTACATCAGAAAATTTGCCTCCCTACCCCATGCAATCCTCAGAGCAATTTTAACGTGGGTTTACACTATAAAAAGCAAACTCCTAAAGCATGAATACACATGCATATAGTACAGGAAAACCTCTGTTTAATAGAACATTTCATTTAGAGGACTTCAGATACAAAGGACAAAATGTTTATTCAGACATTCTCTGAATAAAGGTTTACACATATAAAAAGGGGATGGGGCTTAGTTCACACAGTCAACTTGATTTTTTTTTTTTTTTTTTGACATGGATCATCCTGAAGTCAAAATATGTTGCAACAAACAGGTTATATTACTGTGTCTTCATAAAACTCATCATGGTGGGAGAGGTCTTCAAACTTATGTGGCATCTTTTTTGCCATTTGGAATGGTTCGTTTAGAACAGTGTTGTCCAAACTTGGCCACTTTAAGATGAGTGGACTTCAACTCCCA